TATTTTGGATATTAGCCCCTTATCAGATATATGAATTGCAAATATTTTCTCCTGTTCAGTCGATTGACTTTTCATTTTGTTGATGGTTCTTGTGCTTTGCTTTTTAGTAGAATGTAGTCCCATATATTTATTTGTGTTTTTGTTGCTTTTGCTTCTGGTTTCAGGTTAAAAAAATAATTGCCAGGACCTATGTCAAAGAGCTTACTGCCTATGTTTGCCCCAAGGAGTTCTATGGTTTCAGGTCCTATATTCAAGTCTTTAATCCATTTTGAGTTAACTTTTATCTAAGGTGTAAGATAGTGGTCAAATGTCATGCTTTTGCATGTGGCTGTCCAGTTTTCCCAGCACTACTTATTGAACAGATTGTCCTTTCCCCATTGTATATTCTTGGCTGGCTGTTTTGTCATAAAATAATAGACCATATATGTATGGGTTTAATTCTGGCTCTCTATTCTGTTCCACTGTATCTGTTTTTATGCCAATACCACATTATTTTAATTACTATAGCTTTGTGGTATAGTTTTAAATCAGGGACTATGCTGCCTCTTGCTTTGTTCTTTCTCAAGATTGCTTTGGCTATTCAGGTATTTTTTGTGGTTCTATACAAATTTTAGGATTATTTGTCCTATTTTTTTTGAAAAATGTCATTGGAATTTTGATAGGGATTGCACTGAATCTGTATATTGCTTTGGGTAGTATGGACATGTTAACAAAATTGATTTTCCCAATCCATTAGCATGGAATATTTTTCCATTTATTTGCTCTTTTCTTCAATTTCCTTCATTAAGGTAGTTTTCAATACATAGGTCTTTCTTCTCATTGGTTAAATTATTTCTAGTTATTTTTTTAATACAATTGTATAAGGGATTGTTTTCTTTATCTTTCTGACAGTTTGTTAGTGTACAGAAATGCAACAGAGTTTTGTATATTGATTTTGTATCCTTCAACTTTACTGAATTTCTTTTTTAGTTCTAATAGTTTTTGGATGGAGTCTTTTGGGTTTTCTACATATAATATCACCTGCAAGTAGTGACACTTCTATTTCTTTCTTTCCGTTTTGGTTGCCTTCCATTTCTTTTTCTTGCCTAGTTGCTCTGGTTGGGACTTCTCATACTCTGTTGATTAAAAGTGGTGAGAGTGGGCATCCTTGTCTTATTCCTAATCTTACAGGAGAGGCTTTTCACCATTGAGTAGGATGTTAGCTGTGGGCTTGTCATATATTGCCTTTATAATGTTGACATACATTTTTTTCTGCACCCACTTTGTTGAAATTTGTGAAACAAGTTTAGTAAAAATATATTGAGAATAATATATAAAATTCCTCTCCCAGATGTTGATTAGAACTTAGTGCATTTTTGTACACTTAAAAATCATATTTATTTATTTATTTATTATTTTTTAATTTATTTATCAAGGTATTACATATGTGACCTTATCCCCCCCTTACCACCCCCCCCACCACGCTCCCGTTCATGCCCTCACCCACTTTGTGTCTATGTCCATTGGTTATGCTTCTATAC